AAAGGGGGAGAGGTCAAGGAGCACTGTCCAGCGCTTGGTCCTTGGAAAGCAGAAGACGAATGCTACAAGCCGATCAGGGGATGCTTGCGTTGGCTCCATCGTCGCATTTGTTGCTGTTGCTTCGGCACATAATCCGGTACACCGGTACTCCTCCCCAAATCCCAGGCCTCGATGAGTACCGGGGTCAGACCTTCCACGCACTAATTGGAATGCCAGCCCCACCCGGGAAAACGGCACCTCAATGAAGGCCGGGATAACCTTTTGCCCATATCAAGTCAAAAGAACAGAAGAATGTAGCAGATTAGGTATCCAACAGGTCTGTACGTGGGGATGCTGAATACCGGTACGACCACAGCATTGGTCGGGCGCTTTGAGAGATGAACCTACCCCAGGAGTACAACAACACGTACAGAGCAAAGGAAGGCACTGTTTACTGACTAGTTGATGGTGAAGAGGACAGACGTAAACGGTGATATCTGGGTTCCCACGGTACCCCGTGTTATCCACAGCGCCGCACCCGTCTGTGTGATCGCCGTACCCACCAAAGATATGACCGCACCCACCTGGGTTCCCACCAAAGATATGACCGCACCCACCTGGGTTCTGGCTTTCAGATACCTGCCTTGAACAATTCCGAATTGAACTGGCAAGCTAAAACAAACTTTCTGGACATCTTTGTTTCACTTATCTCACATTTAGTTTTGATTCATACGTTACTATTCTCAATATCCATATTCATAATTTTTCTTTCCTTTTCCTTCTTTGCTTTTCATGTCTTGTCACAAAGAAGGGTCCTTACAGCTGAAGCCTCCACCCAAGGCACCATTGAGAATGTCAGCAAAGGGGCCAACAATTGCTCCAATGATGGCATCAATGATTGCCCCTTCTGATCCACTGGTGGTGAGATCCACCTCCTCAAGTCCATCTCTCTCTTTTCCTGCAGCGAAACCATCATAAACGTAGCTACAACGACGGAACCATGTGCCCGACAACTGACAACAGTGACCCTCACGAGATTGAAGCGCGCTTTTGGGAGTTTCATCAACAGAATTTTGGGATTGCGTTGCGAGAGATCCGCAATGGTCAGAAGGAAGGCTGTTGGAGTTGGTACTTTTTCCCGACGCCACCCTACATTGTGGACGGAGTGGAACGAGGATCGTCCATGAATCGACGCATGGCACTGCGAGGAGATGACGCTGTGAACGCCTTTTTGACTTTCCAAAAAGATGGGGTGGATTTGCGGCGGAATTACATTGCCATTGCGACCGAAATGCAGACACAATTGCAGCGTTCGGGCATGACTTTGCTAAAGCTCGTGGGACCATTGGATGATGCCAAAGCCATTAGCAGCTTTCGGCTTTTTGAAAAGGTTGGGGCACAACGCAAAGATGAAGAATTGTACGTCCTCTGTGGCGATCTCTTGGAATTGTGTGGACACAAACGAGCGTATCCAGTCCCCACTGCAGCAGCACCACCACCACCAGCAGCGGCACGCAAAAAGCGACGGATGTTCAAGGGTCTCCTATTTGGTTTTTTGAACCGAAAGAAATCGTCGAAAGCCAACAACAAGAGCAAGGATTGAGGTTGGTTGAATCAATCAATCAATGAATGAATCATCCACCCGAAATCAAAAAGGCAGCGCCGCATTACGTCTTTATTGATAGAGACAATCTTCATATCTTCGGAAAGTCGCCACAACAAATGCTACCGTAGGGTTGCCATACGACAAATCTATTGCAATTGGTAGACTAGTTTGGTTTCCAGAATTGTCCTTCCGATCTTCATGCTCATAGACGAACTCTCACATATATAGTACCCCAAACTTTTGCGCAAGTGGAAACGAGTGCACACATTCCAAGTAAGTTTGCAGAGTAATAGGTCAATTTCCAGCGAGTGTTTGCGCTTCAGGAGTGCTTCGTCAAGCTGGCCAACGCAAGCAAACGGCATGGGAAAGCTCGACTCCGATGGAAGCTGAGGCTAGTGTGGAAAGTGTGCCGTAAGGATACCTGCTTGACTTGCAGTGGCGGTGAGGACCCATGGCTACGCAGTCTACCGTAGCGTATGAAAACAATCGCATCAAAGGCCGGGTGAAACGGGCTGTCTACTCCGGCTGGCCTTGGGTTGAGGCATGCACATCCCCCGCTCCACGAGCAACTTCGCGATCTTTGACTCTGAGCTGGCATCTATCATTCGTAGCTTGCCTGGGCTCCAGACAAGGCGACCTGGAAGTGGCTATCAGCCCTCAATTCCACCGGGTTAGGATAGCGCAGCCTGTTAGCAAAGCAAAGAACATATATGTGGCCAAAGTTGCTTCCAGTTCACTTGCCAGTTGTTTCTGGGCTGTGGATGTAGGTGCCGATCTTAGAGATATAAGACGCCACTGACGGCAAGCAACGAGCGGCATTTCCTTATGCTGGGGGGTGCCCGAGCGCACATCCAGCAAAAAAGCCAAGGAACTTCTATACTAGTAGCACGAAATGCCGCTTTCCGGAAGATCTTCGCAGCCTCGTGGCTTGCGGGATGATGAGCCATGTCATGGCATGTGCCCGTCTCTTCCTTGAGAGTAGCTACGAGACTGGGGACGATATGCCGATATCCCCGACCTCCTGGAAGAAGGATGTCTAACCATTCACTTCATGACTATCCTTCAGAGAGGCACAGTAGACGGACAGGACAACCATTGAAGAGCAAAGTCTGCTTGGGATACCTGTACTTGCTCCCTGTGGTAGCTAGTCTACCGTACCCTTAGCTCAAGAATGTCAGATGAGGTCGTAAAACCAAAAACCAGGCTATCGTACCGTGGGCAAGGGGTGATCCTGAGCCGTCCTAAGCACTAAGCAGCATTCATTCTTTCTTAGGGTTGCGGGTGATCACAGTCTTTACGTCTTTACGTTCAGGAATGCCCAAGAACACATCACGAAACAACGGTGTTAAATGTAGGGGGAAGGGAAGTAATAAACATGCTTTTCACAGGCACGTGCTGCTTAATTGACATTTCAGAATTGGAACCATCGGTACCAGCAAACGTGCAAACTTGCTTGCCTGCCAGCCAAGTATTTCTCTTCCAAGCTCCATAGCGTTTCAGTGGGATGGGTTAGCATGGTTTGTGGCAATACACATTTCAAGGCACTTAGCCGGTAGGTAGGTTGCTGGCTTTAGCTAGCTAGGTTTGGAATCAATGGCTGTGAGGAAAGCTCCTTTACAAGGCCATCAATCCTGTGCCCACCCACTCTAACATCTGATTGCGTTGATACCCAGCTGTGACTGCATCTTATGATCTTTGCTTTCTTTCACTGTGGAACTGTCATGGGGGCATGTTCCATTGAGATTTGGCTAGCATCCTTTACTAAAGATACGGTGATGACAAGAATAAATGTATCAATGCATCAGAGTCGAGTCGAGTCTAGCTATCAACTTCTACAAACAACCTTTCATGGCTCTGCATGCACCTAGCTAGCCGGTTGGTTGCTGGCTTCAGCTGGCTTTAGAATCAGAGGCTGTTAGCTGTGCGTATTTAGAAGGCCATCTATCCTTCACGCACCTCAACACGCAGGATATTACAATTGCTTTGCAATTGCTTTGCATTGACGTGCAGTGTGATTGCACCATTATTGAGCTTTGCTATTTTGATTCATCGTTCTTTCCTTGGGGCATGGAGTGGCGGATTCGATTCGATTCCACTGGGAAAGGAAGGCACGTTTTAGCACCGATTATGCTTTCAAAAGTTATTCACATTTTGGAAGGGACACTACTGCACCAAGTCCTTGTGCATTAGCATCCCGTACCATTGTGTTTCGCGGCAACCGAGCCCTTATCCACTTTTGTGCGTGTGGTCCTTATCGTGGTGCTTGCCTTGCGACCCTCGTCAACCATGCTGCACAAAGCAACCATCATCATCATCAATCCAAAGTAGAAACACATCTAGCTAGTATCTTGCAACAAGTAAAGTAGCACATAGAGAAGCGAGAAGAAGGTGGTATTAACAGCTACAGCCTTGAAGCTCCCCGGGTCATCCATCCATCAGCTCATCCATCCTTGCCGTTCGATCGAGTTGGGCACAGCCGCCGCGAAGGATTGATTCTTTTGTATTCATTCCACAGCGTTGCATCCATCCCTCTATTACTGATTGAGCTGTATGAGGTGAAAGCATGACAAGCAGCGACCTTCCCGGCCATGTTGTCGACCAGAATAGCAGCCACAGCAGAAGCGACGACCATGGCAGCAGCAGCCGGCAGATCCTGTTGGTGGATGCGCAACAACCACAGTATATTCCTGATATTGATCATCCTCCAATACAACAACAATCACTGGATCAAGTAGTACCAGTAGTAATGCCACCACCCTTTCAAGAACGACCGAGAAGGCATTCGACATGTCCAGGCGATGATCCACTGTTAGGTCGTCTGCGACCGCCTCGACGACCAACCGTCATTCCGACTCCCACAGACTCGAGTACCCGGACGGAAAGTAGCAGCTGCTTGACTACAAATACTAACAACAACAACAACAATAGCAATAGCAGCCACCATCGTCGTCTGAGCAAAGTGAGTCTGACCAGTACAAACGCCTCAACAACACAACAACAACAACAACGCACCGCAGCCAAAAAACGACGGAGTTCTTTGGAGTTGCGCAAGTTGCCCGTGCCGTCGGTCCTCTTTTCAAACAATCATCATAATAATCCATCCGAGTGCACCGAATTGCACGAAGACGATTCCGTGGTCGTCGTCTCGGCACATGTACACCCCATTCATCATCATCATCGAAACAACAATCACAATCACAACAACAAGGACCGTCCTTCCCACGCCACAACGACCCGTAGCAGTGGTGTTTCGGCGGAGCAGCACACTGCTCCGGGAGACAACGCGTCACAAAGGTGGTGTTGCAACTTTTCCGCCTTTTTACGACGGACGTGTCTCAATTCCAATTTCAACTTGCGAACGCAAATGATGCTCTCTTTTGGTGTGGTCAGTGCCTGTTCCATTCTACTGGTCGTCCTCGTCTGCATTGTCGTCTCGGTCATGTGTGGAGCACAAGTACAACAAATCACACAACAGTCCTTTTCGGATTTGATTCGATCCAAAGAAGGCACCACAGCGCGGTATCTCGCCGAAGGCTTGACGTTGCGACTCTTGCCATTGGATCTCGTACAGGTCCTCTACGAGGCCACGAGAGATCGATTTGCCGGGTATCCCACGTACGAGGATGACTCAAAGGTGCCCTTTTTCGATATGATATCCCAGACCGGTCGATATCCCATTCGAGGACCCCCCTTGCCACTGGATTGGCATATTACTACAACCGGTGGTAATGTCAATGCCACCACGGCGCAGGAACACGTCCAGTCACGATACCAGTGGTATCAACAAGATGCACCGCTCAGTACGGAAAATGCCGTCTTTTTCATGCAGGGAGCCTGCAATCCCAATGCCACACTCGGCGAGTCTGCCTATTGGGACGACTGTTCCGATGCCAACAATGACGTGTCGACGGGAGGCAAACTCACGCCGACCACCACGGCACAACAAATATACACCAAATCGGCCGACCTGGCACCGTTACTCAAATCACTGTACGAATTCTATTTGGATGTCAAGGAGATTGGTATTTACTTTTTCAATTCTGGTGCAGGCGCGGTAATGGTCTTTCCCCATTACGCCCTCAACACATCCACGTCCTATCAATCCATTGGATGCGATTGGTTACTGTCACCACATCCCTACGACAGGTCACGGCGGATTGGATCGCTTCAAGATCATGTCCGATGCGAATCGAGAGGCGTCCATGTCGATGGCACTGTGGTATCGACACGACTCTATTCGCCCATGGATCGCGCGTGGTGTCGCAATCAAGCCATGCGTCCCGACGAAATCATTTCCTACGGTCCCTACCAATCGGCATGGCACGAACGAGATTGGCTCATGTCGATTGGACGGGCCGTATACGATCGTGTCACGAAGGAATTCATTGGTTGCATTAGTATTGATTATGGATTGGATGCCGTCGAACAGGCCGTCAATGAAGGCAAGGTCACGGGAAATAGTCAAGTCACGTTGGTGAGATTTGATGAGGACGGAACGGTGGTGGCATCGTCGGCATGGAACAGTACCGCATCGTCTCATACGGTCCATGTCGATGAATTGAACGTGGGCGTGTCAAAAGAGTCATTTGCACGGCTCAAGGAATTGGTGGATTATGACGGCACCACCAGCAGTAGCCAGTGGAATTCGTACCACGTGCGGCAAGAATACGAAAATTTTCATGTCGAAGCCGATGGGTATCTGGTGTCCGCCTATCCCATTCCCCATCCACCCGAAGAGTACGATCCATCCTATCGTCCAGAGTTCTTTGCCATTAGTTCTCTCTCCAAAAGTGACATTGCCTGGGAGGTGGAAGATGTCAGTGAATCCGTCTCGGAAACGGTATCGGGGCTGGTGTCGTTGAGCTTGATTGTCGGGCTGGCAGGACTGGCTGCTGTGGTGCTCTTTATCTTTGTAGTCTCCCACGCTATTACCTTGCCACTCAAGTACATGAACGATGTCTCGTCCGACATTGTCAATACGTTTGGCGGTCACAAAGAAGATGGGATTGAAATGTCACACACTACATTGGATTCCAAGTGCACACCGAAGACAGAGCTCAATGATGTTGTCAAGCAGGTACGCAGAAGGGAATTGTTCGTTTTTCGTGCCACATTGTGATAATGGCAGCTCACATGTAACTTGGTCTTGCTTCTCCCAGTTTCAAAAAATGGTGGCGCGGTTCAGTGGGTCTGCCATGGCACGGACAATGCAAGTGCATGTCAACGAAATTGACAACCAATTATCGTTGGAAGGCAACTATGCTGATTTGTACCTGGGACGTGACAGCGCAGACTTTCGATACACGTACAAGACCAGGAACAGATCGCTGTCCAAGACGATGGAAGAGGACAAGTTCTCCAAAAAGACGGAAGAAGACAAGTTTTCCAAAAAGATGGAGGAATACAAGGAGAAGGACCAGCCAGATGAAGATTCTCCTGAGAAGGTGTTGCAACGGATCCACTTTGGATCTGTCATCAACGACGGAAACAAGTCCGAGGCAACAACCTTTCGAACCGCCGATGGAAAATGGGGAAATGGGAATAGTCTGACATCACCCCTGTTCTTTTGGATTGTGGCGTTGATCGTCCTGCCACTCCTAATTACAACAGTGTCTCTGTCAACCTTTGTGACTTACAGCATCTCCCAAGGGCTGTTTGGCATTATTCAGGAAACGCAATATGCACACATTGAAATTAATGATTATGCGCTGTTGGTTCAAGCCGAATCGAGGGCAACCTATGCCGCCTTGGCCATGAGACAGTCGATACGAGATAACTTCCTCTTGATGCGGTATTCCTCCTGGTTGATCTTCGATGGACTGGAGAGGACTGATTCGTATACTGAAATGATTGGTGGTACAGATGAGTGCAAAGCGTACCGAGTTGTGGAGCAGTGCCCGGCATATGGCGATTACCACTGTGACTGCAAATGGAATGACCGCTTTGGCAAGCAGGGGTCTTGTGACAACTACGAAGTGGATACCCGGTATCTGCAGAAATCAGTGTTTTATGGTCTTTCAGAAAATGTTCTTCCCACCGGAGACCGCCCCAGCACCCCCCTGTACAATTACTCGAGATCTCCAGAGGAAACACAGTGGTGGAATGACACGATGAACCTCCCAGGTTCTCATAAGGGTGCCAACGCATCTGGCTATGAAACAACCTACGATAGAATGCGCGTAGGTTCGGCGTTCCCTTTGTTTCACACTTTCTATAACGCTGATATGCACAGGGGGAGCTTCCAGCATGCAGCCTTGTTCTATGAAGCAGACGGACTGGCAATTGGGTATGGAGGCTGTTCACCAGACACTCTGCTCCTGTCTCGGTGGTCGTCTACTGAATCCAATGGAGCTGCCAGCCTCCGCCCAGAGCTTTGTCCCCTGGGTAAATTCGGCTACGATCCCAGATGTCGCGCATGGTATGACGAAGGGAGACGGCTGGCCTTGGAGAACAACACGGGCCTTTACGTCACTCCGCCATACCATTTTGCTAAAGTTGGTGATTTCTATGGCCAGACGGCCACGAGTCCCCTTATCGATCCCAGGACAGGCGAGCACGTGGGACAAACACTCGTTGATTTCCTGTCGTTGGTGATCTTCGAGGCTTTAAAGAACAAGAACACGCCCCTTACAGATGGTGGGTTCCCGGTTGTGATCACGGGCATGTCAGATTGGTCAGGCGCCGACACCGTCATTGGCCCGGGTTGGTCCCTCGTGGAGAATTCTTCGGCGCCCATCGGTGATATCCTTTTGCCCCATGATGCTCCTATGTGTACCACCCCCCACGAGAAGTGTGAACGGAGGGCAGCATTTGAAGAAATCCGACGTCGCATGAAGAATGGTGAATCTGGGAACGGACACTTTGTAAGGACGAGAGCAGATGGTACCAACGAACCAATCCATCTTGCGTTCGCTCCAGTCAGGGCCAAAGTGATCACGCCTGTGAACAGTTCCGTTTTTGCTCGAGGGATTGATGTGTCCGACTTTCTTGTGTATTCCCTTGCGCTAGTAGAACCGGAGGAGAGCCTGTTGAAACCTTTCGAAGACGTGGAAGCCCAGGTGCACAAGCAGATTATCATCGCCATTGTGGTTTTGGCGTTGGTAATCGTTATCTCCACGGCGTTTGTTCTTTATATTTCGAATCGGTTAACCTTGTCCATGACCGAACCCATGATATATCTGCTACAGCTGATTGTGCATCTGAATCGGTAAGTTTTGTTTCCGTCGAGTAGTGAATCGCAGTTGCCGCAACCTGCATGTTCTAACCACGGCACGGTCTACTTCTTTTTCTTCCAGGTCGAATGTTGACGGGAGTCCTCCAGGTGTGGATGTTGATAAGGGATATGGATCTCGTGAGATTGTCAACGTTGTAGGCTCGATTGAAACACTGTACAGAATCGTCCAAGCTGCGAATGTTGCATTTTATGCTGGAGACATCGAGAAGGCTTATTTTGTCCTGGCGGATGCTGCTAGACTCTTCAGGCGTCTTGAGAACAGTAAGGCGGAAGGGGTCGCCAACAATAACCTTGGCAACACAATGCTAGTATTCATTCGGACTATGGATGACACAGGTACAGAGCATGTCTGTGGATTCAAGAAACGGGAAGTGATTGGAAAAGGCATGGGATACTATCATCGTGCTATTCAGCTGGGCGAGAAGGCATATGACAGGTTCTATGAAGAGGAGGGCTGGTCTCCAAGCTGTTTGGAGTTTATGCAGCACCTGTCCAACCGATATTTCAACCGAGCCATGTTTCTATTGACGGTGAAAGATTCACATGAAAGACCAGCAGAGTTAGAAGAACTTGGTTTGAGGGACCTTCAGATTGCAACAGATATGGATGTTGAGATTGTTGACCAAGGAACTGAAACTGGTTGGGATGTCAGAGGTGCCGACAAGCTCTTTGATGTCATTCTGTCCAGAGTTCGAGGCCATCTGTTGCTCCTAGAAATGGGTTACGAGGACAAATGGGATGTGGATGAGCTGTTGGACAATGCGTTTGACCTTGTGAAAAGAGAACTGAACTCGTCCAACCCTGGGGCGTCGCCTCTGTTCAAAGAATTTTGCCCAGCGGGACGCATGCAGCAAATTGAAACAGAGTTGATGAAGTACAAAATGATCAAGGGAGACGTTGAATGTGCTGCTAAGATTGCCATCCGCATGTTGGTTGAAGACGAAAAGACGATTCAGTCGGCACAGTTAAAAGCCGTGGAAGTGCTCGTTATCCACGCAAAGAGAGAACTGGCAGAGTCGAACGTACGCAGTCCATCGCAGCTTCAGTCAATACGGGAACTCGAGGACTACCAGGATTGGCTCCAGATGGCCAGCAACGAACGCGACAGGCGCAGTACATGTGGATGGGAAGATGATGCATTACCAGAAACTCTGAAGAAGTCTGTTCGCAAGATCATGTCGGATTCTGAAAGAGGATCGAAGAATGCAGGCAAAAGAAAAGAGGATATGAAGCTTTCTTCTCTCCGTGCTAGCACCAGAGGTGATATTGTGATGGAAGTATTCTAGTTTTTTGAAGCCATTCTGAACGTGTGTTTGGAAACGAAAGCACTCGAGGATCGTCCAGCGCGCTTACTTTGTTCCTGGAAATGGCGACGCCTCAATCAACGCTTGTGTCCGCGAGAGGAAGAGAAAGAATAGGAGCAGCATCGTGCTTACTTTGTTCCTTTTAAAGGCGACGACGACGATGCCTCGATCAAACCCCGTGTTGACGATGGTTCTGCAGCCGGCTCCACTAGAGACAACAATGCGGAGGACGAGGCCAGATTCGATCTTGTCGACCGTGGCTTTGATGATGTCGAGAAAAGGGATTATTACAACGAAGACTTTTCTGCGGAATTCGAGGACATCTCTGTGGAAGTCGAGGGCGAATCGAATCAGCTGGTGCCTCTGTCGACTTCGAGCTGTGGGACGCATATGCCGAGGTGCATTGGATCACATTCGAGTTACCCGACCGACTTTGGTACAAACGACGATTCAATGCATTCCAGAGAGTAAAATTACGCACTGCCTGAGTGGACGAATCGAGAAGAATGGTCTACAATGCGAGGAAGAAAGTCGCCGACAGGATGGCAAAGTTGCCGAGCTTGTTTGCATTATCATCGCGAATAAGACCATCACGTAATGCTTTTTAGAACTTCAACAACCCTTCAAGATGCGTCACGATTGGCTGCAATCCGCCGTGCAAGAAGTGTCACTGATACATTATTTCTGCGACCCCATAGAAAGCTGCTTAGGTTCTTGATGACATCGCCCTTGTGCCATGGCCAGAGCAAGCATGAGGTGAAAGCAGTAATGTAACCGTTGATCGAGAGCCTTTTGCCTGAACTGCCTGGTTCAAAAAGCTTGACTCTTGGGTTGGTGCTGCCGGTACGATCGTGGAAACTGCCAGTCCGGTTACAGTAGTAGATTTGAATCCTTCAATCGTTCCGGTGGCGCGGCATACGGAGTAACTACAGATGCAATGCCTAACTAACTAGCAATATTGAACTCTTTAGTAGAATGGGACTGTTAGAAAGTTATCGGGAGTTTACGTGGGGAGGCCTCTGATCTCATCGTACGTCAACTGAATTGAGATCTTGACGAGGAAACAGCATCGCCCTATCTTTTGTACTGCTTGCGCTAGCTAGCCAGCGTGCAGAGGGCGATGCGATGGATAAATAGAGTGGAATCTGGCAATAGGCAATGTGGAAGCGTCGAGATGACTCCTCACCACACATCCAGGCCTACTTTGCCCTTGTCAGTTGATCCATAGTCTGCGTCACTAAGGTTGCTGTCTGACTCTTCTGCTGTTTTCTTTTCCACCAGAGGTGTGCTCGACGATGCAAGTCGACTGGAGCTTCTCAAGCTCTTACGGCTACCGCTGCGAAGAGCTCGGTTCATCTTCTCTTCACGCAATTTCATATCACGAAAATCGGCAAGGGGAACCGCCATGAGGCAACCCATCAGCACAATCTGAAATATATTGAAACAGATCCAACCCTTGCTCGTTGCGGAATGAACAAATCCCACCATGTAAGCCATGAAACACTGGGCCACCCCCGAAAGGGCAAAGCCAACACCTGTGAGAATACCAAAGTACTTGAAACCCAAGCGAGCGGATACAATGGCAAGGAAGACTGGATAGAGGAACTGGCGAAAGAGAGAGTAAAGCGCAAAACCGAATATCATCACTGCGCGAGCTCCAAAGGGCACAAAGGATGGAACCATTATCAGAAATGTACTGACTTGTCCCAGAATCAACGTTAGGAGTGTACAGATTTCCAAGCCCGCTTTATCCATGAGCCATCCCACCAACACAGAATATGGCATGCCCAGAGAGAGCAACCATGTGAACTGCTGGGAGAGATCATGCTGCACTCCAACAGGAAACTGTGCCAAATCTTCCAGCTCCGTGTTGAGGGATGCAATGGTGAAGTTGGCCAGGAAACTTGTAACCATAAAGATCAAAACTCCTCTTGCAAACGTGGAGCTTCGTAGCTGTACTAGGAAGGGCTGGTCCTTGAGACTCATTGCTTGGAGCGCTTTCTCGTTGTGAGACTGCACGGCCTTCTTGGAGAGAAGAAACGACTGATGCTTTCGCAACGGACTTTTATTCTTGTGCAGAGCAGACTGTTCATTACAATCTTCCTCGTCGTCGTCATCGTCGTCAAGGCCATCACGGCGCAATGTCGAGCGCAAGGACTGGTCCGTCATCAGGAAGGGCTGCAATAACGCGGAGACCAAGCAAAATAAATGGGTCAGAAGCTCGCAGAGTCCGGGCAAAAGTAAGTGATCAGGAGAATGAATAACTTACATGTTCATGATGATGTGCATACGTATACAGGGCAGCATCAACATAATCTTCTTCTGCCGACGGATGATAGAAATCGTCCTGATTTGGTGAGTCAAAACTGAAAATAGAGTTGTCATCGTCGCCTGCTTCTTCCTTTTCGTAAGGCGCATCTGGAGAGATGAGAACGGTTCCAAGCAGCATCACGGCTGCCACAAGGCTGTAGCCCCCAAAGAGAGACCGAAAGCCGACATGCCATAGCTCCCAAATGCTATTCAGCATTGCCAAAACAGAAAAACTCAATGTGATACTCCCAGCCAGAACACTGACGGCCAGAAATTGGTTTTTGGGGAACAAATTGGCATTGTGGATGATGGACAAGCCCACGCCAGGGCCACCAAAGGCAATGCAAATGACCGACAGAGAGAATTGCCACATCTCGGTTGACAACGCAAAGCAGGCACAGCCTAGAACCACCAAGACATGAGCCACTACGAGACAAGCTCGAGGGCCATATGCATCCAAGATTGGTCCTAGACAAAGGGATGCCAGCATGGCAGTACTGGATGCAAAAGTGAAGAGACGGGTTGTTTGAATGGCGGTCAAGTTTGCTCCGCCATCTTCAGGAGCCGCTGCCAGCATTGTTCTGTCGATCGATGCCCAACCGAAGACTATGCCACCGATGATGGCATTCTGAAGGCAAGCAAACACGGCCAAGCCCATTCGACTACATTTGGGCTGTGCATCGCGGTCCAGGAGAGAAGACGTGAAGGAATCGGCTGCGGATGGCATGGTGCAAAAATCAAAATCGATCTGATTTCCTCTGGTGGTGAAAGGAGAAGCTTTTGTGGGAGTGCTTGGATCTTTTGTTAGCATGAGAGAAAACAACACCAATGCCAAGTTTACAGTGAAACTTCAAACATGGATGTGACATCCTATGGCGCTTACCTTCAACCATTGGTTGCTGCGTTGCTGCAATACCGCTACCCCGGTTTGCAATCGAAATGTGAGCATCAGAATCTCCCCTCCCTTATTGTTCTGTCTGAATGACGTCAGGAATTCTTCAGGAAGATCTAACCCTTTTTTATTATTTTATCAAGTATCTGACAAGGTAAAAACCAGCAGAGTTGACAATCTGCAGAGTGCGAGGGTCTGTCACATGCCGGACCGTACAGTACCATTCAGTACAAAGCTTTGCATCGTCTTGGTTGAAGCACAGCAAAGCTGGGGTGATCCTCATGGGAAAAGAGGATGCATTTCGCGTCTTGTGTAGCTAGTAGTATAAACATAATTCTAAAGACAGTTGCAGTGTGTAACGTAGTCTCTTGGTGTCCAAGCCGACAGTTCTTGGCTGGCTGGCTAGCTACTCATCTCCAAGACGAGGCCAAGTGCAAGCGTCACGGTCCAAGGATGGTTGCAAGCTTTCAACTTGCCTGCACTGACGCAGCTTTGCGTTCCTAACTTCAGAGGTATTTATTTGCAGGGAGTGGACACAACAACTGCAGCGCGGAGGTCGACAATTAGCAGCGATCCCTGACCGTCAAAGACTTCGTCAAATTGTGGCTGCTTGGCTCTGCTCGCAACGGAGACCCAAGCCGATTCAAGGCACTACCTGAGGCAGTCTCGTGGTTCAAACCAGCATATCTCAGCTAAAACTGTTCCATTGTGATATCCCCACGACCGCTCTGTGCCAAAGAAATCCTCCTCTGGAGCGAAAGGTCACCTGAAATGTCCGTGGGAAGGTTCTTACTGCTCGACTCCTCGATATTGGCTGAGAAACTCATACGGGACATGTTGTCCATATCTGTATCCATCATCTGAGAGGCCCGATGCACGTCTATCTCTTGAACGGCCATTTCTACACGTCGAAGATATTCAGCAAGGGCGTCTTTCACGTCTTCCTTGACGTCTGATCTTTCTCCCACATGCATAAGCAGAGCTCTGACGGCTAGAAGCTGTGCAGACGGCAGCGTGAATTCGTCTTCGTAGAGCATTCGTATGCCTATTCTTGCTGCTGTTTTGTAATCTTTCTGCAACATGAAATAATGCACGAGCTCGTGTTCAATTTGTTGCATTCTCCCAGCAGGCCCCAACTCATGGAACAGGACAGAAGTATCTTGATTCTTCAGTTCTTTTCTGACAAGGGCTACTGCCTCCAGCATCCATTCCTCCAGTTCAAACTCGTCTGAGTATCCCATCTCCAAAAGCACAAGGTGTCCTTTGAAGCGAGACAGCATGACCTCAAAGGTCTTGTCGGGACCTCGAACATCCCATCCTACCTGGGTGCCCTCATCTACAATCTCAACATCCATATCCCTTGATATCTGGAGATCTCTCATGCCAAGCTCCTGTATCTCATCTGGCTTGGGATGGTCAGCCTTCACCGTCAACAGGAACATGGCTCGGTTGAAGTACCTATTGGAGAGATGTTGCATGAAATCAAGGCAGTTGGGAGACCAACCCTCTCTCTCATAGAAGTCATCATAGGCTTTCTCTCCCTGCTGAATGGCTTCGTGGAAACAAGCAGTCCCCTTTGCAATGATCTCCTTCTTCTTGAAGCCACAAATGCGCTTCTGCTTCGTTGCCTTCAGCGTTCTGTAGGCTGCAAGAAGGGTATTTCCAAGGTTGTTGCATGCGACACCAATTGCCTTTTTGTTGCCAAGCCGTTTGAACAGCTTCAGTGCGTCCTTGAGAACCTCATACGCAGTCTCCACATCTCCGGCGAAGAAGGCAGCATTTGCACTGCGGATGACTTTGTAGAGCCTTTCCATTGTACACGTGACATTCAAAACCTCCCAAGAACCGTACAATCTGTCCATGGGTGGTTCTGGTCTGTCTTCGCCGTCTTTCATGCTGCAAAGTTGTTAGTGATGTCTTTTGGTGCGCCTGTTAACAGCAAGAAATTTTCACTCACCGGTTGATCGTTTTGATTAGTTCCAGCAGGTGAAGCATTGGTTCCGTCATTGAGACTGTTATAACTTTGGAAAAATAAACGATGAATGCGGTTGAAAGGATGATTGTGATGCACAAAACCGCCAAAGTGATATAGAACTGGGAATCAATGTCCTCCTCGATTGCAACGAACTGGTCGAGCATGGCATCTTCAAACTCTGCGAAGGCCAGCGAATACAGCAAATAATCCGCTCTCTGGACCCCTCGACTGTAATCTGAGCTGTCGACAGCCGAAAAAGTCTTGACAACCACTGGAGCATACGAAATGTAAATTGCTTCTTCTGCGCCATCGCTCGCCATCCGTGTGAATTTGGAATTGCCGCTGTTGCCAGCCTTCATGTCCTTGAGAATTTTGTGAAAGCCGTCCTCACAAGATTCGCCTCCACATTCGGGGTCGTTTGGAAGGATTAGCTCAGCAATTGGCCTTGCCTCAGCATCCCTCCCGGGTCCTATGACGGTGTCAGCTTTGAAGTTGTCTTCTTCAATCGTGATCAGTACAGGGAACCCTTTGCCCGATAGAGCGAAATTCCTGTCATCCAAAGAGTCCAAAATGGGCTGCGAAATGTAATCAACTAAAGTTGTTCCAACATGCTTGCCAGTCTTCGGGTCAAACAGGGGAGATGCCGCACTCTGGGCATAGATATTTGATCCAGCAAAGAGGTAAGGAGGGGTAGCATAAACTGCAGATCGGTTCCCTCCAACTGCCTCTCTCCCTTTGTGATACCAGTTACGACACCTTGGATCGTACCCATATTTACTAAGAAAAAGATGAAACCGTGATTTGTGAGCAAGGTGCATCAAAGCACTCATGATCCAAAGAAAAGTCGAAACATACCCTAAGGGACAAAGCTCTGGACGCAAGTCGTAAGCACCATTCCCCACATTCGAATGCCACTCGGAATACCCCGGGTGACCAGGGTCAGCGCATCCCTCAAACCCAGAGAAAATTCCGTCGTCTTCAAAAGCAATAAACAATCCGATGCCAGATCTCTTCGACCCAGAGTCGTAGTTGTAGAGGAGCTCTATCACGGGCACGGATGCCGCCGTATGCAATCGATCATAGGTGGTTTCATAACGAGTCTCGTTCAGCCCCCTGTCGGCCCCTGGCAGTTCATCAATGTGAGTCCACCATGCAGTGGTTTCGCCAGAACTCGACACTTTAGGGTAGCTGGTACTCATGCGATCTCCATCTGCGTCGCTGTCATGAGATTCGACAGTAAAGAAAGTGTATTGCTCATAGCGAGGATCCGGGTCCTCCTCCGTGATATTGACACATTGAAGTCTCTGGGTATCACCCCATGCGCAATCGCAAACTCTGCCCTCGAAATATGGACATTCGTCCTTGTCAGGATAAACCTTGCATTCTTCGATCCCACTTGTCATTTGCGCAAATCCCTCCTGTTGTTGTAACCCACCAAAGAGCGACCAGCCAGTGTATCGCGTCAAGACATGAAGATCCCGCGTTGCCCGTTCCGTTATTGCCGCTGTCAAGTTGGCTCTCAGGCCCACATAAGTGTGCAGTGCAAATATCTCTGCTGACACGAATTGTTCCTTGGCATCGTTTACAAAATCTGGAAAGCTTCGTGAAATGTTCGCCATGAGAACGCCTGAAATGGTAATTGTCGTCAATAAGAGCGGCGTCACAATGAGCACCACGATCCAGAAAAAGAGGGGCGATCGCATTCCATTCTTTTCCTTGGTCTGTCGAAGCGACCTGGCAAATTCTGAATCTCTTGTGTTGGCCGTTGTGCTCCCGGAGATTGTCAAGGAATCTCGACTGACTGCCCGTCCAAAGTTGACGCGATAGGGCGGTGCTCCCTTGCGTTCGATCTTTTCCGAAAAGGATAGCTTTCGTATTGGAAATCGAAACTTTTGGAACGTCTTGTCCGTATTGCGACTCTGATAGAGCGGTTTGAATTCTTCCATCAAATTGAATCGATTGTCAATTTCGGCAGCTCGTTCTCGCGCATTCTTGGCCATGGCAGAACCGCTAAAGTTGCGTACCATCTTGAGAAATTCCTTCACAATGTCGTCGAGTTCTGTTTTGGGTGGTGTGCACCAGTGCAGCTTCAAGTTGGACACCATCGCTGCGGCTGTGTTTGTGTTTGTCGTATTCGTTGCCGCTCCATGGTTGCTTTCGTTTGTACCGGGAGTCGTGCCATCATTGGCAGTATTAGCATTATTATTCTCCCTGCTGCTGAGGACGGCTGTATCTCCAAAATTGTTGACAATATCGTCCGCCACTTGATTCATGTACGTCAGCGGTGCCGTCAAGGCATGCGCCACCATGGCCAAGATAATCACCATTGCACCGAGACCTACAAATCCAACAATGCAAATGACCCGTTCCAATTGCACGACTTCCTTGTCGACGGATTCTTGCAAATTTTCCGATCGTTCAAACCATTCTTCTTCATCCATACTCACCACGACCAAGAATTCGGGCCGATACGATTTATCGTAATGCTCGGGGACGGGTGGGATGGGAAATGCCGACACGAGGTACGACGTATCGGCGGTGGTCGCATTGCGGTGATGAACGGAAAAGTTTTCGTAGGTTTGCGTCACGGCCGCTGGATCCCACGGTTTTTTGTAATCGACCAGCGAATAGAATTCCTGATATCCTTCGGCCGAAAGACCCACTTGGATTTCATCAATGGTATCCACCTTATCCGTCTCATTCGCCGTCAATGCTTGTCGTCGATCCCACGCCGTCGATGACACGAGCGTTCCTTCCGGATTGAATCGGACAATGGTCACTTCAGAATTGGGTGTGACCCGGGCTCCTTGCATGATGCGTTCAATACTATCGAGTGTAAAATCAATCCCAATACAGGCAATGAATTCATTGGTAATCCGATCGTAAATGGACCGTCCAATGGTCATGAGCCATTGATCGTGCCAGGCGGAATTGTAGGGACCTTCGTGATGCACCTTGCGCGGATTCAATGCCTGTTGGGTACACCATTTGCGATCCATGGGATTGTAGAGACGACTGGAAATGACTTGCGCGTTGCGATGGAGTCCGTTCAATTCGCAGCGTTCAAAATCTTGCAAACTGGCAAATGTTTTACTCGGATCAATGGGATGACTGTCCAACATCCAATTGCAACCCGCACTCGTATAAGTGGATCGTCCGTCCATTTCGTAATGGGGATAAATGACGGTAGCACCGGCTCCCGAATTGGAAAAGTAAATGCCCATATTCTTGATATCTTGATGATATTCGTGCAACGATTTGAGCAAGGGATTGAGATCGGATGCTTTGCGATGAATTTGTGCCGTGGTCGGTGACGGCGCAATGACTCCACCCGTTTGGATATCGTTGTTGGCGCTGGTGCAATTGGGCATGTAACGGTTGGGCAAATACGTGGGAGTGGCGTCTGGGTCGCACATGCCCTGAATGTACAAGGCGGCACTGGACGTGTCCAATCGAGGACTGTGATTGTACCATTGGAATCGATGTTGAACGTGTTCCGGGGCATTGGCGGCGTTGACATTGCCACTTGAGTTGTTACTATTATTGTCGTCGTTGAAAAATTGCCAATCGAGTGGGAGTTGGGGTCCGACAATGGGATAAAAACTGGTTCCATTTTGTGGAGCTTCTTCGTTGGTAAATGGTACTTGCGAATCGTCCTCATGCACGGGATATCCGGCAAATCGATCCCGTACGGCTTCGTAGACAATCTGTACGACATCGTCGGGCCAAATGCGGGGTGTCAAATCATCTGCCAAGTAGTGTGCGGTCGTTCCGGCAATGTGTTGGGCCTGTTCGTCGAACGTCTGTGTGGTGATTTGAATGACCTGATCGGATGCCAAATTGGTGGCCAGAATACTGACGAGTACGACAATGACAATGGTAACGAGCGAGACCGATCCAAAGGAGAGCATCATTTGCGTTCGCAAGGCAAATCGGGAATTGAGACATGTCTTGTGCAAAAGCGATGCCGATGCCGTCATGCTCTTGGACAGCAAATCTTCCAGAGGACTGTTCAAAGTGGAACCTCCAATACTGGCGTCGTCCGGAGCCGGTTGCAGGAGAATATTGACGGGCAGTCGACGCATATCCAACGACGTTCGATTGTCTTTTTGTTTCTTTTCCACGTACTCGCATTTCAACGCCATGGTGCGGTCCGAGAGTTCCGACGCTTCCATGATGGACACTACCGAATGCTGTTTCGTCGTCGTAGTAGTAGTACTAGACGACGATGTGCCATTGTTGACAGCCGCCACTAGATCGGTCGCAGGAGTATTATTCATAATATTGAGATCTGTAGCGGAAGAAGCACTCGCCACTGTAGGAGCGGTTCCCGTCGATGTCGCCATGGCCGTCTCGTCGGACGTGTCAGGCGATGACGACGAGTCTTCTTTGGGGGTTTCATCCTCTGTGGGAACAACATCCATTCCGCCGTTGCTGTGGTTGTTGTCATAGCCGTTGTCGTCCCCGTCGAGACCGTCGTCGTTATTGTTGGAAGACATGCTTGCCCTTTGTAACTAACTCCACCTCAGATTACGCTGTCCTTGCTTGCTGCAGAAAAGAGATGCTACAAATTGCACTGGCCAAACAAAAGGAGAGAGGGATCTTTGATAAAAAGACAGAAGTGCTCTTTGTTGGCAACAAACACAAGCTGCTACCAACAAAGCAAACAAGCATGCAATATTACGAAATGAGACGATTGATGCCAGTAGTGCAGTAAACGTGTGAAACTCTCCAACAAACCAACAACAACAGCTGAATAATGAATGAAGGAGCGCTGGTGGAGTGCTACTGTAATAAGCAGCTTGGTAAGCCCAGTGACCAAGCAAGGGGAAAGGCAAAAGGTGCACGCTCAAGCGCCCAAGCCACTTTGGGAACACTGAGGTTAGAGGTTGCCTTCCTTTCAACGAACACTGACGTGCTATTTTAAGTAGTCGTTCTCTAGTACTCACGCTTCTTACGACACTCCGATGACGGATTCTACTCCAAATAAGAGAGTAAAGGCTGCTATTGATACAATAATTCCTAAACGTTCAGCAATGTTAAATCCCTCTTTTCCTTGGGCAGTAGATCTTTACTTCCGTGATGATTCGGTGGCATAAACGGCAGAAGGGGTACTGTGAATATAAGAGCTATATAGGAATCATGAAAGGAATGGAAGGAACATTTAAGTCTTTGAAACCTCCTTTATCGATTGATGTAGTGAAAGCAGCTTCGCTAGCTTCTTGATGCATCGGCAACACCACACCATCACATAACAACAACCATTGACACTTGACAACAGGATGCAAGCAATAAGGCAATAAAGAATCGCATCCATAAAATAATGAGCGGTCGCACACGACCTGATTCGATTCCTTCTCTTCTACGTTTACGGCTAATAGTCCCAAAAAGAAATACCGTTTGGGGCGTCTAGCTAGTCACAAGGGGCGTGACCATGCAACCGTGGGGTGGGCCGTGAGCCGTGAGCGGAAGCGCCGAAATTTCAGCTTTCTTGTTGAGCAGACCTCCAAGAAGGCTTGTCAGAGTAGTTGTACATGTCATTCCGGAACACTCAAGGAGGAGGACATGAGTACTACTATGGTCAGGGTGGGATGATCAAAAGGGAGAGAAACTGTCACCTCCAGTCGAAACCAAACCCTCGAAACGACGACGCAAGACGAAGCTTGCATTCAGCGAGTATGCTTGCTTTGCTGTCACGCCGATGACTGCCAAACACAATTTAGAAAGCTGTGATCATGGAGAACAGCAGTCTATATGCGAACCACGGTTAAATTTGTGGACGGGCACAAAACCGACGTTTCCATGCCTGACGGTGGATGCATCCTTACTGCGGCCGGGGTTGAAATAATGGAGGTTCGAGCTGCGACGGAGGACTCGTCGGCATTGACTTGGGAGCATGATGTGTCGTTCGGTGAGAAGCTTGAGAACCCGTCGAAGCGCTCACAAGAAAGCCCAGGCTCTTTGAGAAAGTTCCGGATGTAGGAAACGTTCTCAAGGTTGGGCACAAAATTGGGGTTTCTGTTTTCCGGACCTTTGACATTACGGACCAGGATGCAAAAGCCCCCGGAACTGTTGTATTGGAGGATTTCTATGG